CTGAAGTGCGGTGCCCAGAGCTGGACGCAGTACTCCAGCTGCGGCCTGACCAGTGTCACATAGAGGGGGAGGATCACCTCCTTGGACCTGCTTGAGATGCATATGTGGATGCATGACAAGGTGCGGTTGGCCTTCCTGACTGCGTCCCCACACTGCCGGCCCATGTTCGTCTTGGCATCAGTGATGACTCCAAGATCCTTTTCTGCCTCTGCACTGACGAGAAGGGAGTTCCCCAGCCTGTAGGTATGGTGCCGGTTCTTCCCCCCCAGGTGCATCACCTTGCACTTGTCGGTGTTGAAACCCATCCTGTTCTCATCTGCCCAGCCCTGTAACCTGTCTAGATCTAGTTGCAGCCTGTCCCTCTCCTCCAGCGTGCCCACTTCTGTCAGAAGGCAGCTACTAAAGCCAACCAGACTGGCAGTGCTGACCTAGGCTTTCCAGAATCTTTTATTAAGGCTCCTCACAAGAAACTGAAGTAAACTGAGGCCATGACTACATGGTAAATATCCCATGCCCAGCAGCAGCCGCTTCAGGGCAGCATCCAACTAAATGAGATACAGCGTGTAGTAGGGGAACCGGGCAGTCAATATCCTGCTCCTATAAAAGGTTGTCAGTATATGCTCAAGGGATCCCAGGCAGCAGTGCTAATTAGCTGGTCTAATACCTTGCACAGACACGACAGTTTAGAAGCCAGTCCATGCAGCCCATGTGAAGGCACTGCCACGGGGGACAATGATGCCACCATGCAGGTGCCTTATTAGGGGGCGTGAAGAAGACCTGCCCCTGACCATAACTTGGCTGAGATATGGAAGAAAAGGGAAGATGAAGTGTTCTGTTGTGGGTCAGCAGCAGATGTTTCTGCCTGGACTGTGGTTTAATGTAGTATAATGAACAAGGAAAGGAAGGGAGCAGCAGCAAGGGCTATTTAGCTTGGACAAGACAGAGAGGGCACTGAAGGAGCTGGAGGGACTGGACAGCACAATAGCTGATGGGATTTGGGGTCAAGAATCGGGGTGCGGGAAAATGCATGCTGAAACCACCCTTACACTCCATGGTTAAGCAAGCCCCTGCCACAACGGGAAAAGGCATGGCTACTGCTGCAGGAAGATCCATGGAAACCTTTGCACTCAGGCATGAGACAAGATACTAAATCTGGCCCATGGCCACAAGCCTCATGTGGCTGTGCATGGGTAAGCTGGGAGCTGCTAAAGATCGGCAGTCTGGAAGATCTCCTCCAGGAAGCCCAGGCACAGTCCTGCTCCTCCCCTGCCTCCTCACACAGCTGTTCGGTGCTCTTCTGCAGGCTGGGCAGGGGCAGCGGTTGGCCCTCGCAAGTCAATCACTGTCACTTTGCAGTGCTCACCCAGCGGAGCCATGAGGATGTCGCCTTTCGGGATTTGCTCAGCAGGCCCCACTTCCTGCTCCTCCTCTTCCTCTCCCTCTCCCTCACTCACATTAAAGACAAGCTTCAGCTTCTTGGGCTGCATCAAATTCATGAGGATCACGGCCAGCCCCAGCAGGAAGCACAGCAGCCCTGCAATACAAGGTGGGGAGACTAGTTACAGCCTGCCGAACCAGACCTCCTCTAGACTGCTCTAACACTCTGCCACCAGAGGGATCCCAATGCCTGTCTGATCCTCTCGAGAGAGCCTGCTAGCACCTGGGCTGTGGAAAGCAGCTGCTGCACAGCGCAGCCAGTGAGGCCAGAACAGTGCGGCTTTGCAGAGATCTTCCTTCGTTTTGTCTAATTGTGTCAGGCAATTCTCTGCAGCATCCTCTCTGCTATTCCTCATGTACCCAAACTTCTTGTTCCCTTTTCTGATTGCTGGTGAACTGGCATCACTGAGCTGTCTACAGTGACTCCTCAGTCCCTATTCTGGGTGTTTACAGTCAATTTAAAACCTAGCAGTGAATCTGATTGGTAAGCATTACAGTACTTTTTGCTGAGTCCATGATAGTAGCATGGATGCCATCTGCCATTAGGGCACCTGTGAAGATCCTAACACTCTTCTTCAGTCTGAACTCTCCTAAATATGTTGGGATCATCTGTAAATAATGCTACCTCACTGCTCAGATCTTTATTCATTTCCTTGACAACAAGCATTAAACCAGCCCTAGATGCACTGCCCAAGAGGTAAATATTAGCTGAGGTGACCAGACCAAATCTTGCGCTCAACTCAGAAGAGTGAGAAGCACCTTCCTTGGAAGTGGGCACGGATTATGGGCTTGGAGTTCTAACACTGGCCCTCTTCCACTGACGTGCTCCTAAACTGAGACATCCAGGTTAATGGGATTCTTTGCCAGCAGAAAGCAGAAATTTATTACGACAGTGCAACGTTAGAAACCTATGATTTAGCCAAGTTTGCATTTAATCAAGTTGAAGGATGCAGCTGGCCCCAGGACTACAATCCTGATATATCTGCCCAGAATCACAGCCCAGGGGCCATCTTGATCCTTATGGACAATCTGATGCTGCAGTTGGTGTCACACTATTCCTTCCACTAAGAAATATTGGTAGACACCTTATCAAAGCTTCCTGGGAGCCGGAAGCCAGCTTCACCTCTTGGGACCATTTGGATTCTCCCACACAATCAGTTTTTGGTGGACAAGTGAAGGTTTGGGGCACCTAACAGCCTTTGTTTCTGTCTGTTCTTTACTTGATTCTGTGTCATGCAGCAGCCCTGGGAACTAACCTGTGGCTAAGGTCAGCCAGAAGGATCCCCCATAGCCAATCTGCAGGGAGGCTGAACCGAACCGGATGTTGCACATTGGGAAGTGCCTGGCGACAGTGAAGAAGAGCAGCGAGCAGATCAGCAGCAGTGCCATGAGTATGAATATGTAGCCCCCGTACAGCAGGATGGGCATGGAGAAGAACACGTTGGAAATGAGCCAGGTACAGAAGGCTGCCCTGTGAGACAGGAATAGGACTGAAAGGACAATCTCTCCAGACACTGGCAAGCATGGTTCTCATTACCCAGGCCCTTGGGTGATCACTGCCAACAGTTCATAATAAGAATGATAATTATGTGACTTATTATGGAAAGATTGCATATCCACTTCTGCACTAGTGCAAACAGCTGTGTGTAGCATGAAAACTAGTCACCCATCAAAGAGCTTGGATGGGATGGGGGCTCCCATCTCCAGTTCTACACAAAAACCACAAGACCTTTCATAACCAGCCAGGTCTTGTTCTTCTCTAAGAGACAGCACCTCCTCCAGCCCCCTCTTCAATGCACTCATTCATTACTAACAAGGACAAGCTGCTGAACACAAGCTGTGGGAGCACCTAGAGTTCTCCTTGAAGGCCTCCCTTATAGAACAGATCTGAGCTGACTGTACTTAGCTTATAACATGCTACCACTTCAAGCCTTGCACCCAAAGAAAGATACTGTGACTAAGTACCTTAATAAGAGAACCTGGGTAACTCTGAAAGCAGTTCACACCTGGCATAACCTGCTTGCACAGTGCACAGCCAGGCAGCCCATGCAGTTTGTGGATAATGAAATCAGTCCTTGGATGATGCTGCAGTGAGCCACACAATGTACGTTAGAAAGCCCCTACAGCTCTTTGTCTGACCTATCACCAAACAGGGATCCTTTCCCTCACAGCTGGTTCTGCTCTGACAGTGCAAGGGGGAAGGGAAAGGAAGGGCTCAACATTTTGCTGTGCCTTACCACAGTGTGAGGGAGGCATAGTGGCCGGAAATGCGGTACTGGGCGTGCACACCACAGGGACTGTTCGGGGTGAACTTCTCTGCCACATACAGGATGGGACGGGGGAGCCCCCGCTCCAGGCCCTCATTGTAGCTGAGGCCATAGTCCTCTCCAAAGCTCCAGGAAAAGTGCTCGTTGTAGCTGATGGTTTCATTGATCTGATTCACTGGATTTCCTGCCAAAACAGCAAGGTCTGCTCAGCCACTTAGGCAGAACAGAGCTTCCCTGGGGCTCTGGGACTAGCAGAGGGTCAATAATTATCCCCTAGGGCACAGGTAAGCAATGCTGCTCTCCCTTGCCTGAAGTGCCACTACTCTGCCCCAACAGAGCTCCCTTCCCAGGAAGGCGAGACACCCCCTTTGTTTCCTCACCACTCTTGAGCTAAAAAATGGGACTCACCCACTAGTGTGACATTGATGCCGGCCAAGCCGATGTGCAGCCCGATGTTCGTGTTCACCACGGCATTGCTGAAGAACTTGTAGGAGGTGCTCACTGTCACCTGGCCAGTCTCCCAATCCCTGGTGAAGTTAACACCTGTGAAGACTGCAGTGGTTAGTCAGAGCTTCTCCACTCTAGACACAGGCAGCTTCCACGCATGGATGACTAGTGACAAGCTTCTAGCTCATGCTGTAAAAGGACTTGGCACTGAAGACCACCAGTCTCTTCAGTGAGCACTGCCATTTCCCCGAGACTGTGCTGAGGGCCAGGTTGAGGCCAGGGGGACACCAGAGCCCTGCAGTACTGCGTGCCTCAAAGGGAACTCACTGCAGCGCAAGCTGGAGGGGCTGGCTGGCTAGCCCTAGGGCTGAAGGCCTCTGGGCGTCCATGTATCATGTACATCCCTACCCACTGCCTGACCATATCCTATTCAGCAGAAGGGGCAGCTTGCTCTCAGGGCCTGCTCAGCTCCCAGCCCTCTCTGATGAGATGTAATAAAGGGGCTGGTGTGCTGGGGTTTATGACGTAGATGCCCACATGACTGGGGCTAACAACTCGTTTTACAAAGGTCACCAAGCAGATGTCACATGGCAACAGGCTTTGTACTCAGTCAGTGACCTAGAGGTGACCCTTGCATCTCACTGTCAGTCTCCAAAGTAGAGCTGCTTTAATTATTTGCTGCTAATAAATTACCATGCAGATGTCAGCCTTTCTGCCGCCTGCTAATTGCTTGGCTGGAGAAAGTGCCTTGATTATCACTCAGAGAAAAGTACCAGCTTTCCTAGAAAATCCAAGTATTATCTGTCCTGCAATTCACAACTGCTCTTTTTTCCTCCCCTTTCTCTCCTCCCCTGCAGGGGAGCACAGCAATCCTTTCCCTTGGTCTTTCCTGCTTTGTCCAAGTCCGCCCCCACTGCCTGGTAGTCTGTGGGAACCCAGGCAGCCAAGTACTCACTGAGAATCACTGCTCCAATGAAGAGGCTGGTGACCACTCGCAAGATCCAGAAGGACCTCTGTGGGAAGGACAGGACAGAGGTGCAGAGACTAGTTCAGGTGACCAGTGGCATGCAAAAGATGGCTCCTTTTGATGAAGTGCTCTTTGTTCTTTTGGGAACTGAACACAAGGGCATGTTTTTTGTCCATGGGATGGACAACCTCAAGGCTTGATTGCAGCTAGGGCTGACCAAGGGGCTGCTATGCTCAGATTTTGGCCTGAATATTCATCCTTTGCGGGTGGTTGCATCTGACAGTGGGTCTAGGCCTATACAAAGATGTGACCAGGAGCAACTTACAGGCTGGGGAACTCTCTTCTCATCAGCAGAGGCAGAAAAGGATCTTGGAGTCATTGTAGACTCCAGGATGAACATGGGCCACCAATGTGGGGATGCAGTCGGGAAGGCCAACCGCACCTTGTCGTGCATCCACATATGCATCTCAAGCAGGGCCAAGGAGGTGATCCTCCCTCTCTATGCGACACTGGTCAGGCCACAGTTGGAGTACTGCGTCCAGTTCTGGGCGCTGCACTTCAGGAGGGATGTGGACAACATGGAGAGGGTCCAGAAGAGGCCACTCACATGATCGGGGGCAGCAGGGCAGGTCTTACGAGGAGAGGCAACAGGACCTGAACCTGTTCAGCCTCCACAAGAGAAGGCTGAGAGGGGATCTGGTGGCCATCTACATACTGGCCAAGGGGGATCAGCAGGCACTGGGAGAGTCCCTGTTCCCCCGAGCACTACTGGGGGTAACAAGGAATAACGGCAATAAGTTGATGGAGAGTAGATTCAGACTGGATATCAGGAGGCGCTACTTCACAGTCAGGGCGGCTAGGACCTAGAACCAACTTCCAAGAGAAGTGGTGCTGGCTTCTACCCTGGGGGTCTTCGAAAGGAGGCTAGATAGACACCTTGCCGGGGTCGTATGACCCCAGCATGCTTTCCTGCCCATGGCAGGGGGTCAGGCTTGATGATCTGCTCAGGTCAGAAGGGATCTATGAAACTATGAAACTTTGGGAGCCAGGCCCCAGATCTGGGGTTTGGGTTCACCTGTAGATAAATCCAGGGACTTTAAGGCTAGGTACAAACGTTCCAAAAGTCTGAGGTGGAATCAGTCTAAGTGATGCGATTTTCTGTACATGGCATAGTTTAGACCAGTAGCAAACAGAACGCACATTCGCACTTTTGGAATGGGGAGGGGATCAAATTGTAGACCGGCTCTACCATTTTTAAACCAGTATGTGCATGTCAAATTTCTGTTCTGTTACAGATATAGACTGGTTTCCAATAACTTATACCGGTAAAAGCTTAACGTCTTGGCCTATAGGTCCCAGGTCCCTGCCTGCAAAGAGGCTTTAGTATAGTGCCCATGGTCTCGCTTGCCCTTTCCACACCCTTGTGTAATGAGATGGATGCCATGGGTGGCTGCCATTGAATGGCCATATCCTGTCACTGTGGTGGCTGACGTAACACCCCTACCTTCCTCCAAGGTAGCTAGTGACTCAGTGTATGAGTAACACATCTACCTGAAGTCTCATGTACCCTCAGTGACCAGTCCAGCTGTGTCACTCTGCTCCAGGACAAAGGAGAGAAGTCATTGCCTCCTTAGCACTTTGTGGGGCCTGGAAAGTCTGTGCTCTCCACCCAGAATCATATTGCTGGACTTTTTCCCTGTGGGAGATTTCATGCATAGACAGCATACAGTGCAGTCCTGGCCCTTCAGTCTGTGTCTTAGCCCATTGTGGGGAGCTCTCTCTGCACCAGCCAGGAGAGCAGGGGGAAGCACTAAGGAGTGGTGCTGCCTCACTTACCCCTTTGCCTTGGATGCCAGGCCAGATGATAATGAAAGCAGCGAGCACAGTGGTGAACACAGAGATGATCACAGCCCAAGATGTGTCAAAAGGGAAGGCTGCCTCGGACTTGGGGTAGAAGGGAAAAGAGCCGTCGAATAAGGTCATTGTGGCACCCAGGCAAGACAGGAAACCTGCAGACACTAAAGGAGCAGTGAGTGAAGCAAACGGTCTCTGGATATTCCTAATCCCAGGAGGCAGGGGGACATGCCTTCAGTCTGCTCCTCTTCTCCGAGGAAACATCACCTGCTGTTCCAGACCTAGGCCACCCTCAGCCCCACGTCAGAGACCCCTGCTATAGCACTGCTGACGCTGGGCCCCACCAAGAGCTCTGCCAGTACACCTCAGTGGCAAGCTACTGTTGTCCTTCAGAGTTCATGGTAATACAGAAGTTAATGCATGTGTGTGAGTGCATATCTGTGTACATGAATATGTGTATGTGTGTGTGAGAGAGAGAGAGTTTTAAAGTTATTATGGACTAGAGTTGGGGACACAGTATCATGGGGCATAGTGCTATCATAAGCACTAAAAATCATCCTTCAAAGAAGCACACCTATTCAAGAGCTTTACAAGACATAAGCCTGGACAGGCCACCCATTTATACTTGTACTTAGATGTAATATAGCCATTGGACAGATCCCTTGACCTTGTCAGTAGTATCTCTGTCTGCCAACTGAAGGGGTATTTGAGGTGCCTCAGGTAGAGACTCTGTGCACAAATTCACTTAATCCACCCTGAGCAACTTCCCAAAAAGACCTTTTCCCATTTCTGAATTGGTTCTGTGCAACAGGTGTGGCCAAAAACCTTCCTGGAAATCAAAAGGGCTAGTTTGAACAAGGTACCTTTAGAAAAGAGACAGTAAAACAATGTTTCATTTTGAAACAATCTCTCCTGTGTCTTGTGAGTTCTTTAAATACAAATATGTCAAAATGCCTCCAATACCACACGTCCAAGTTAAAAAAAAAGGCCTGGGAATTGCAGTGGTAATGGTAGCAGGCTTTGTGGAGGGTGCAAATGAGGCAGCCAACCTAGTGCCATTGATAAAATGCAAAGCAAGAGTCATCTATAACCAAGGAGAGATGGATTTTTCTCTCTGGGATTCCTCCTCTTGAACCAGGTACTGCTTTCTGGTCCAGCTTTCCCCCTGAGAACCTGGCTCTGGTTGTGTGCTGAGCACTTGGGAATCTGTCCCTCCCCCATGTTTTATAGGCTATAGACAGCAAGTTACCACATGCACATGCTGCAGCAGCACTTGTCAGCCTGTGTTGCTGTGGGATTCAGATGGAGATGCCTGTGGTCAGTAAAAGAGGCCAAATAAACTCTGGGAATAAATTCTCCATGGTACCCCCCATACCTGTTTTGGATTCCCAAAGGGCACAGCGCTTGGGAAGTCCCTCCAAGCCTCAGCATGCATCTGTTCCCTTTACTGCTTCCTCCTCAAGGAAATCTTAGCATCTCCCCACCTCTGGATAAGAGCATTCACCAGGCAAGAGAAACATGGGCCGGGTATGGTCAGTCAGGGTCAAAGCCACCATGTCTTCTGGGGGCCTGGAGCTGTTCCAAGCCAATGATTTGCCAGGCCCAGTTATGGGCACAAGGGGATGGCTAGAGCCCTCCATGGCCAGGACCCTCCATTCCTCCTCCCCCAAACCCGGCAATCACTTAGGAGGAGTTTACTGTGGTAGGTAGTGAGGGTGACAATGGCTACAAACAGGCATCTTATCTGTCCTGGGGTAAACCAGGGCATCCTGGGACAAAGTTCAGTCCTTCAGACATCTATGTTCATTGACTCAGGAAGGTTCATAGGATAAGAAGTGCTAACAGTTTATCTTGGGACATCACTAAATACATCTACTGTTATCCTGGGATTGCATCATTGAACCAATCGTAAAAGAGGAGCAGTGCATTGAGATGCTCATTAAACTCTAATTATAAGGGTGATGTGTGCGCATGCCAATCCTGGGACATTTCTATTCTAGGACAAACATGGGCAACAGCTTGTCCAGGGGCAAATGCAATGTCTGTTCCTAGTCACTGAGCCCAGGTGGGATCTGATATACAGAGCAGCTCTCCGACTTCACAACAGCAAGGCACTTAGCCCCTGTATTTAAGTGCACTATGCAGTTAATGAGTGCCCCCCATCCCTCCCCCCAGCCTGAGGGATGTCCCGGCAGCTTCTGACAGCAGAAATGACTGTCTATGCCCCAGGCCTGGCTTCCCCACAGCTGTGGCAGTGAACAGAAGGTGGGAGGACTTACCCCAGCCTAATGATCCTGGGCAGCTGGCCTGGCTTCTGGGCAACGCCTGGGCACTCTACACACTACTGGCTAGAGGATGAATGCTGCTTTGCCTCTCTCCCTGCCTTTATACACCAGCTCCCTGGGCAATGGGCAGGCGGCCAGGTCTGCGTGTCATGGCTGAGCTACTCCCAATCTGCTTCACGGTGCACACCTCTGTGCCCAGACTGACAGTGTTCGAGGGCAGTACTGACCCAGCCCACAGCTGAGCAGCACCCACCTCCTCCTCTCCCTTCTTCTCTTGCAGTCACCCAGGGCCCTGCCACAGGCAGAAGGCAGCAGAGCAATGGACACCTCCTCCCCACCTACTGCAGAGGTGAGCGAGCTCTGAGCACAGAGGAGCCGGCTGGAGGCAGGGATAGAGAAGCATTACTGTCTCTGTCCTTCCTGAGATGGCCCCAGTCTCTGTACTGGGCAGGATGGGAGCTTTTTGTTTCAGGGGAGCAAAAACCTGGATGGATGTAAATCCCAGGTGCCTCTGGATTAATCTCAGGTCATGTTCCTCATGAGTCCATCAGGGGTGGGCTGCCTCCCTCTCACCCTAAGCAGCTGCATCCAGGGGCCCCAGAGCAAGGAGTGGGCAGATGAAGTGCCAGTGAGACTGGCAGAGCTGCAATGGAGCCAGTGCTCCCTGTTACCCATTAGCCCTGCTCTTCCTCTCACTTTCACATGCTGGAGTAGGTAGGGTCCCCCTTGACTCAAACTGACAGTCAGCCTGGGAGCAGTCTGGCCCTGGCATGAGCTGGCAAGGGTAGCGGGGTGGCATGGGAGTGGTAAAACTTGCACCAGTTTGGTGTCTAGCAGGGATGTGACACGAGACCCAAAGATGTGCTGGAGAGGATGACAGGGAGCATCCACAGGACAACCACTCCTAGTACAAAGTGAATCCTCAGCCACTTCTTACCTTCATAGGCAGATCTAGGTTTTGTAAATGGGATGTTGGAGCAGCAGCCAGCACTGCAGGGGTGGCTGCACCTCTGCTTCCAGCTTCCCCTCTCCACTGGGATGGGCAGACCATACCACAGAAGCAGCACCTAAGGACTTTTTGCCTTGGCAGCATTCAGGTCCGCTAAGCTGGTGGGGTTTATTTTAGCTGCCCGGGGTGCTCCTTCTCACCAGGTCTGGAATGGGGAGGGACGGAGGGCACTTTCATACGATTTATGATGGTCACAGGAAGAGCTTGCAGTCCCAAAGGACAGATGTGAGTGAGAGAGAGCACGGGCGACTGGGTTCTTTGCCAGACCCTGTATTAGCACTGGGCCACATTTCTCTGTCCAGCTGTGGCCTGATTTTGCCCTGACTCTTGCTGAGCCACCTCACTCACACAGAAACAGAAACATCCCCACCTCACCTAGCTACAGTTTTCTGAGACTGCCGGGCTGACCCACTCGACGGCCAAACCCAGCCACCCTTCTGAGTACCACATCTGACCTCCCCCTTTCCCCTTCTGGTCCCCAAGATACTGAGAAACACTCTGAGACACATGGTGCCTCACTGAGGGGGAGAGAGTGGCCGTGGCATGCCTGGAGGCTCTTCTGGGCACTTCAGGCACAAGCTGTGGAAGGCCATGCACTTGCTGGAGGGTTAAAGTGGCAGGACTTATTGGTATTTATTACTCAGTCCCAAAGCTACTTCACATGGGACTAGCTGGTCAGTCCTCCCCAAAGACTATGCCACTTCCTGGCCATCACTGGAAGAGGAGACCCTAGCATTTGTGAAGGGCAGCAGGGGCTCCAATGAAAAGAGCATGCTGCATTACTGCCCAGAAACAAAAAGGAGATTTCTAGGAAGTGATTTCTTTTTTGATTCATGAATGATGCCAGGCAGATGTTGTGTGGTTCAACTACTGACTCTCTGGGACCCCAGTGGACCTGTTGTATTGCCTCGATCCATCAAAACAAATGTGTGCTGGCTGTGTCAGGGGGCCAGGACATCTGAAGCAGAGCTGTTGTTTCATGACTCCATTGTCCTGGATCACTGTTCCTCTTGCTTTCCTGCTTGATTTTCCTCCTATCTTCTGGGCTGTCATGGGGGCAGCACTATAGCTGGATAGTCAAGCAAAATTTGTGAGGTGAGGGTATATCTTTTATTGAGCAAACTTGTATAGCTGAGCAGCTGTGACTGTTTCTTTCCTGGAGCTAGTGAAGGCTGCTTGAAACTCCTCTCGCTCCCAACTATAAAAGTTGGTCTAATAAAAGATATTACCTCACCTCACAAATATGGCTTTGCACTACCCCCTGGGATGGTAAAGAAATAAAGTGATGTGCTGGAGGCAAGTGCGGGGAGTAGGGAGGATGGAAACCTTCATATCCGAGTGATTTATCCCAAGATGCCATGCATTGGAGCAAGAAGAGAAGTGGCTTTCCATGGGGCTATGGTGATAACTGTGCCTGGGGGGACAGAGTTCAGCTCAATCCTGAAGGATATCAATAGCAGAAAGAGGGCAAATCTGGGGAAGAGAGAGGTGGAGTCCTCAGGAAAGGTTAGAACGAACTACATGCTCACTGGGCTACAGAAAGGATGCAACTCTCTGTATCTCTTGGAAGACAGGAGAGGGAATTATTAAGGGAAATACTAGCAGTGACCAGAAACTATGGGGTGAGAGCAATGACTACAGTGAAAATGTAGCTGAATAGTAGGGGAAATATTTGAGCAGAAAGGTTCATCAGGCCATGGGATCCTCTTGCCTGAGAGCTGGACATTTCTAACTAAAGTCTTATAGCCCTGGAAAAGCAGCCGAAGGAAGAATTTGCACTGGCTTAGGAAGCAGGAGAGAGAATGCTGCTGGTCTGCGCTGGGTGATGGGGCTTTTCCAGCTCCAGCTTTGTTCTCCAGGAGGACAAAGAGGTCCGTTCAGTTTCCCCAGTCTGTGCAGTAGAGACAGGGCCCAAATACAAAGAGAGAATTGCTAAGGGTCTC